ATGATCTACCCTTGCATGTTAGGCAGGCCTCTTCTCTCTCTGAATTTAAAAGTCTTCTTAAAACATATTTATTCGCTGAAGCCTTTGGCATTGATTAGAGGGGTTGACTCAATTTGTTTTAACATGTTTACATTTATTTTAGTTTTTTAGTTATTTATTTTATCTTATCTCATTTTAATTTTCTTTACTTATGCTATTAGCATGTACAGCACTTTGTGAACTCTGGTTTTATGTTAAAGTGCTTTATAAATAAAGGTGGTATGGTATGGTATGGTATGGTATTGTGTAGACTGTATTTCTCACCATTGTGGAGCTGCTGTGAATGAAAAAGGTAAGTACTAGTAACTTTTTATTTTTGTATTTATTTGCATCGAAGTGGACTGAATATGCTGCTGAGCTTTAAATAGGCTACTTGGGTGCTTCGAGAAGTTTACTCTGCGCTACTAGCCCCACCCATTTTACGAAACGATGACGTCTGAGCCAATCACGATGCTTCGCGCGGAATTTCAAATATTTTCAAATGCCCATCCATTCACCGATGTGATATTGTTCCGCCAAATTTGTAAACAAAATAGTCCCTTTTGTCTAAACGCGAGTTCAATTTGATCAGAGCAAATACACAGTGCATGACAAACCTAGTATGACAAAATATTACACGCATTTCATTACAAAACACAAGTGAAGTCAAGTTTTAGTGGGGCGACCGAGTGCGTTTAAGTCTGGCGGATTGATATCACAACACTTCCCTGGACCAGGCGACGGACAACAAGGGACCGCTGTTGAAGGTTGCTTACGTTAGGTAGTTGTCGGCATGGCAGATTGTCGTTTTAACTTTAGGCTGATATGATCGTGTAGTTAAAGTCCTCGTTGTATCCTTGTCTATGTTTATGGATTTCACGCATCTGCAAAGTGACTTTCAGGTGAGGATACGATAGTCCTAAACGACCGTTATATTAGAGTTTAATAAGTCGTGTAACACAAGTGGCGACCCGACATTAAGTTTTTTAACGGTGGCGTTATAACGATACACGTTTTTCTTTTTTAACTAGAGAATGTAGTAAATGATAAAAAACAATCAAACTTACAGCTAGCTATGTATTTCTGGCAAGACGAAAACTACAGTCGAGGCCACCATGCACGTGGGATACTGGGAAAACGTTTGCTAGCGCTTTACTGAGGAACAACGGTCCTGCTGGTTTGTAATAGAAATACAAAACAAATCTAGGATTAGATTAATCCTACATAGAGTTAAAAAGAAGTGTAGAATAAACTAAAACTACCTAAAATGTCATAAGCCAAATAAAAAAAATAGCTAAATGTCATCGTTAGGTATGAATACAATGTTGCCGCCTAGTAAATGTCTTTCCTCGGCTTGGAACGACATTTAAATGCTATTTAACATTTAAAGTTTGATTGTCTAATGTGGATTTGACTGTGCCTTTCGCTGCTGACACTTGTGTTTCGTAATGTTCCCAGGTAACGTTGGAAAAATGCCGTTGCACGGTAAGATTGTCGTGATTAAGCGGAGTGGAGGAGATGGGACTGAATTTCCTCTGACTGCAGCATGTTTATTTGGAAGGTTGGTAGAGTTGGCCTTTGTTTACCTTCTGTTTTAATCCCACTTACAGTAGTGTTCATACATGTAAGACACCCTCGTGTACTACAGAAAACGCATACACTTCATCAATGTTTCTCATGTTGCGATTGTGATGGGCTATAAAAACTTTACTGTTAAGCTGTTGAAGTGACGAAACCATGTTTGTTCTCATATACAGTAGACTTTACATTGTTAGATCAAAGCTCTCAAGCAAATCCACATCAGTTTTGCACCATCTGACCGGCTGTAGCTCAGGGAGGTAGAGCTGGTCACTTACTGATCGGAAGGTTGGTGGTTCGATCCCTGGCTTCTCCAGTCTGCATGTCAAGTATCCTTGGGCAAGATACTAACCCGAACTTGCTCTCCGATGGGTCCATCGGAGTATGAATGTCGTTAGAAAGCACTATGTATAACTAAAGTGCTTGTGAGAATGGGTATGATTGGGTGAATGAGGCATGTTGTATAGAGCGCTTTGAGTACTCCGTGAGAGTAGAAAAGCGCTCTATAAGAATCAGTCTTTCTTCATGAGCCTTTAAAGATCAGCTCCCAGTTACATGTAAATATGAAGAGGTTCCACTTATCATGCAGCTGAATGCCTTCTGCTTGTGACCTTACAGGAAGCCTGACTGTGATATTCGTATTCAGCTTCCTCAAGTCTCCAAGGAGCACTGCCGGATTGACTTGAATGAGAATAAAGAGGTAAGAAAATACAAGGAGCGCGACTGCTTTAATGGCCTTAGTTTGCCGATATTTAAAAAATGATTGCTGTGGGGAATGTTTGCTTAGATGCTGTGTAATCATGTAGTTGTGCTTCTGCTTTGAAATGTTTTCATTGTTCATGTGGTGTTTCTCTCTCGCTCTGTCTTTCTGCCAGGTCATTTTGACCAATTTAAGCTCAGCAAATCCAACGCTTGTCAATGGCGAGGTTTTGCAGCAGTCTGAGCGCTTGAAGCATGGAGATGTTATAACCATTATCGACCGTTCTTTCAGGTGAGTGTGGTCTGAAAGAAACATTTTAACAACCTTTTTTCATAAGCCGTTAGACAAACGCTGAGGTAAAGGGCATTCAAGTTGCGTTTAGCAGAGTGTGTTGTTGGAACAGAAGTCTAATCTTATGGGGCGACCATGGCTCAGGGGTTAGGGAAGCGTATCTGTAACCGGAAGGTTGCCGGTTCGATCCCCGGGCTCTCTGTCCTCGTCGTTGTGTCCTTGGGCAAGACACTTTACCCTACCGCCTACTGGTGTTGGCCAGATATGGCGCGATATGGCAGCCTCGCTTCTGTCAGTCTGCCCCAGGGCAGCTGTGGCTACAACCGTAGCTTGCCTCTACCAGTGTGTGTGAATGTGAGAGTGAATGAATAGTGGCATTGTAAAGCGCTTTGGGTGCCTTGAAAAGCGCTATATAAATCCAATCCATTATTATTAATCTCTGAAATGCAACCTGCAAAAAGTCAAGGATGTGAGGAACCCGCTGAAACCGAATGTAATGCTTAAGCCCAACAATAGAGATTGACAGACCACGTGACTTTCGCGCATTGCATGCCGGAAACTCGTGGCAAAACAATCCAAGTACCGCATCAAATGCAAGCATTTGCAGCACCGCAAAACGTTCATTCTTCGGTTCCAATAAATTCTTGCTTTTTCTTTGCCCCCCAAAAAGGTATGTACAAAACGAAGGAGAACAATGCCGGTCCGTACAAAGACAGACAAAGACAGACTTAATGAAAAGTCAAAGAAAAGGTACGAGGAAAAAAATCAAACCAGTGAAAGTGTTAGACCCTTACGAGCACACAGAGGGACAAAATACGTTAGCGTGCTGCCCAACTTCACCACGCTCATATTTATAATTATACGGTTCTTTGAGTGAGTGCATACACTCGTGAAGTTTAGTAACTTCAGGTCACTGCAACAAGCCCAGGTACAGTTTACCGACGGATGGGTGCAGGACCTTGAAATGCACCGTGTAGAAAGTAAAGGCCATCGTACATATCAAAAGTTTACCAGTCTCACAAATCGTCTTCATAAATACACATTCGCTAACCGTTTATTAATAGGACCTTTGAGCTCAACGGTAATTAATTAGTAGAAGAAATAATTTCTGGTAGCATCACAGAAATGTAGCAGTGACAACAATACTGTATGCTGTAATCGCACTGGGCAATTAGTGATACAAAACAACAGTTTTGTCCTGTGAATAAAAGTATATGTTTTTGTCAGTGTACCATGGTAATAACAGAAGCGAAACACAATATTGTGGCAGGACAATTTACTATTTATGCACAATAAATAAAGGAGCATAGCGCGACAATTTCTGTTCAGCGCCAGACTTGCTTGTAACCTATATCACCAATTATGTGATAAAAATGACGCATTAACTACAACAGCAGACTGACCTTTGTGGAAATGCTTGGAGCAGACTAACCTGTGAGCTGGAGGGTTCTGGGACGTTATATTTGGTCTTTGAATGGCTGCAATCCAGTCGCCTCTTTGTTACTTTGGAAACATGGCTCGAACAATTTCTCTTCAACGACGTAATCCGATAACAACCGATCTCTTTACCCGTCGGCTTTCCGTGGCTGTCATGCGACCGGCTATTGCAGTTAATAATACAACAGCTTCCTGCCATTTTTTGTGTTTCTTTTTATCGCTGTATAACTGATTTCAATTGAAAGCCTGCGTGCGCTAGTACCTCTTGCCACGAGTTCCCAGAATTTGCGGTTTTACCCCTGAGTGACGTCACATTTTCAATCTCTATACTAATATGAAATCTGTGTTGGCCGTTTCAGTTAACATGGTATTGGTTTGTTGGTTATTATTGCTAAATGCAAATTCAGGTGAGCAGCACTGGAGTTAATTTATTGTTTTTCATGTAGAGATAAAAATGAGATAATCTATCTTGTAGAAAAGTGGTGGGTAATTGGAATCTTCTGATGTGTTTAACATATTTTAAGAGCTCATAGATTATACTGCTTGCAGTGGAAATGAAACAGTCCTGTACTTAGTGTCTCCATGTTAGCATTGTCATGGTCACCCTAAAGGGCGTCTTCTATGTCTTTGCTTTTGATTATTTCAGGTTTGAGTATCCTCCGGCACAAACGCCAAAGAAGAGGTCTGCCATTGGAGGCAAACCTGAAACCCTCAAGGTAATTTTATTTATTTATTTATTTTCCTTTTAAACCACTCTATTTCAGCCTTCCACAACTCTCTTAAAAAAGTTATTACCTTTCTAATAAATTGGATTGTTTTACTAATGGGGGCGTCTTATTCTTAGGTTCTTCAAGACCAGCAAGTGGGTGACACCCCTATTGTGGAAAAAGGAGAAAAGAGATTCTCTGAAGTGTCATCAGGTGTGATTTCTATTTAGAAACAGTCGTTTTTAGCAATGTAGCTATGTGAAGCAGCGTACACTTACTAAATATGTCTGAAAATAAGCAGACCCATGTAACCAAAGCTGTAAATGGTCTTGCAGAACAAGCAGCTAAACAGCCACTGACTGATTTGTTTTATTATTTTTTTAAGATACTTGTCTTAAAGATGGAGCCAGCCATGACAATATTCAGCGTTCCTTGGAGAAAACCGGAGAGTTGGAGTCCAAGGCAGATGATAGCCTGCTACAAGGCAAGAGCAACTCCCCCTTCAGCGACCTGTATCAAATGATCAAAAAATCTCTGGATGTCAAGACCCCTCGGAAATCTTGTGCCAGTCAGCTTGCAACGCCTTCCTCAAAGGTCGCCTCTCCAAAACCCAATTCGGTCAGAAAAGGTAGTGCCATTTTCACTGAGAGAAAAAGCACTCCTAAGAAAAGTGAAGTTCTAGCTGGACCTGGAAGTACAAACGGGGGAACCCCAGCGTCTGTGAGGAAGCAAGCGAAGGTTCCAGCTGCTGAGACAGCTGAACCCAGAGCAGAAAAGGCTGAAAATGGCAGCGTGATTGAAACGGCTTCACCTCGGAAAAGAAATGGCGCAACTCCTCAGAAGTTTACTGTAAATGAGGTTATTGAGCAAATTACAGCTGAAACACCCAAGTCGCCTGCGAGGAGGAGGAGTAAGGAAATGTCACCTGGCAAAACTCCAGTGACCAAGAACCAAGAAGAAAAAACAAAGGCATCACCCAGGAATTCAGCTGGAAAAGGTTTTCCTGCTCAAAATTGAATTATAATATTTCTGGGTGTGGCTGTATAATTGATATTGTACACTTCTGGTAGCTTGATACTAATGTACGAGCATATTTTGTTTTCATAGGAAAAGAAGTGTCCAAAAAACGCAAGAGTGGAGAACTCGGAGAAGACGTGCCCAAACAGCAAGCGAAGAGGAAACGCGTTTCCTTTGGAGGTTACCTGAGCCCAGAGCTGTTTGACAAACGGTTGCCTCCTGACTCTCCATTACGCAAGGGGGCTACCCCACGGAGGAGCTTGTCTCTCTTGAGACCCAAGCAGTCACTGCTTAGACGAGCATCCGTCATCGGCTTGCTAAACGTAAGAATGGGCAGTTTAAAGTGACAGTATACTTGGAATGTTAAACACTTATTTAAAACATATATTGTTTTCCATAGGAGGGCAGCCCACGTGCAAAAAGTCCTGCAAAAACAAAAACACCATCACCTAAGAAATCACCGAGCAAGAAAATGGCTTCTCCTAAGACTCCAACTTCTGGGAAGAAGTCCCCCAAATCCAGATCACCATCACCCAAGGCAGCATCTCCCGCGAAGAAGTCGCCCAAGTCCAGGTCCCCGTCTCCCGCGAAGAAGTCGCCCAAGTCCAGGTCCCCGTCTCCCGCGAAGAAGTCGCCCAA